GAAATGATTGACAGCTGAGTAGGTCTACCTACTCTCGTTTCACTGACGTAATTAATCATAATTGTGCCTGACGCAGTAGGAGTCTGTGCACTGTCTAGGAAGTGTCTAAGGAAGCGCTTACAAACAAAAAGAGGATTACTTGGTGTGCCAGCAGAGGACAATGCCACCCGTCGTGCGTGGGCGCCGCTCTACACACCAAGACGCGAAAATTGAGAAAGTAAAGCAAGATTTACTCCGAGAAATGGCCGAATGTGGGTACGTATATGCCATGATGCCACAGAGTGCCAAGACCGTAATATGCGAATTTGAAAATGTTTTGGGTGGCAATATTACTTTAAAACTTGCTTGCTATTACAATCTTTATTGTGCATAAAATGATTGCCTAACGATTTTTTTCTGACAACCCCAGACGTTGTACGAATACTCAGCAGTTCAAGTGTGATCTCGAGTCTTTACCGCGGGGTTTCTCCATCCACCAGAAGCACTCTCTTTCAAAATTCTCTTGCTTTCCTCGCTCATCCGTTTTCTCACGACTTTCTTTCTTCCCATGACTGTGTATATAACTGTGTTCTGCTTAGCTGACGTAAGACTTATGAGCTGCCAGGGCACGCGTAACAGCTTAAGAAGTTAGACAACCATTCTTGCCCCGCCCCCATAGTAACGGTGCTTGACAACGGAGGCGGAGCCTAAAGCCTGCCACCCGTACCAGTCAGGACAGGTAGAAAAACTCGTCCAAATGTATATTTTTAGTCCGTGTTTCACAAATATTACTTAATTGAGTATTAGATACAAAATTGATTATTTCTAACGTATAAAAAACTAAAAATCGAGTTTTAGACGTATTTTTAATATCCTAGACCCCTTAAACTTTATGAGACAAATCTCACTCGTGGTTCACTCGTGCATGTATTTCTCACGGCTTTACAATTACAGTTTGTGATTCTCTGCCTTATTTCAACAAACCTTATTTGGATCAGAGATGTACAGTCTTTCTGCGGCTTTTGAAAATTCGTCCCAACTGGTCAAATAAGTCATTTTAGTAGTAAATATGTCTCGTCTTCTCCACGTCTAGCACCTGCTTCGAGCCTCGCTTTCAGTGATTAGCTGCGGAATATAATTGAAAAGGAATTAAGCCTTATCTTCCTGGGACAAATATTAACGAAATGATAACACCAGAAATGGTGTCAATTATTTACTTTACCCATACAACAAAAGAATTTTATTCATATTAGCTACATTTAGGTAGGGTCGGAATATTAGCCAATGAGTGACACTTATGATTGTTACTCCATACGAAAAATGGCGACGGCTTGAAGGTTTGAAAGGGGTTGGCCTAAAAATATACCATTTACTTATAGATGTAGATGCTCTATTAATCATCGGTTCAGTTATAAGAAGTGAACATAGGTGCACTACCAAACCGATGAATTGAAACGATAATATCAACATTGCAAGAAGTTCATTGGCGAAATTAAAAAAAATCGGGAACTAAAATCGGAAATGTCGAGGTGAGTCCATTGTTTTGACTTATACTAGTACGAACTACATGTATGATCATTGATGCAGATAAATTGATACGAACATGATTTCATACATATCATGTAAAACTTTCGCTTTTCATTGTAAGAGGAGAGAACACCTTTTTCAGTACATGGTAGTGTCATTAATTGAAATTTGATTAAATGAACTTTTAGCCAGTACTTTAACTATTGTACGATCGGAATTTCCTGTTTTTTTACGATTTTGTTCATTGAATTAAGTTACTGACAGTATCCCATTCTAAGTTACAGAAATCTGTTTTTACCTCTGCAATTGTGCGAAAAAGCATTTCGATGCCATGTTACCATTGACAGAACTTCTGCCACATGTCAGTTGTTGTCAGTCAAAATATAAATAAACACTGGATAACAGTGCGAGTGATGAATCATTGATATCAGTGAATGATACTCTGATTGTGATTGATTGGTGGAAAGTAGAGTCGTGATCCATTAAATTATGATATACTTTCTTGTGTTTGATATTATAAGTTTAAGCTTTAAGCCTTGAGATATTTATGTTGCACTTTTTAATTTGCAACAGATATTAAGGATGAAATTGTAGGATTGGTTGATGATTGCTAACATTACAAACACTCTCTTTTAAGAGAGGAAATGCATGTTGAAACAAAACATCTTTACTAATTAAAACAATTGTACAAGGGAATCCCCTTATCATCTGGTTTCTGTCCAGATGTCATCCATTGCTCTGAATTGTATGCATGCTATAGAAAAAAAAAAAACAAATATAGAATTATTCTACTTAAGAAGAGCAGGTATTGAAAGCATTGAAATAATCATTTCAGGTATATTTCCATTAGCCAAGGGAGTTAATTTGTCTATGTAGGAAGATATAGCATCATCACTTGCATAACTTCCTGGTTTAAAAACATCAGAGTGGTGGCAAAGCAAAAATAAATCCTTTGCTTGATATTTTTTCCACAAAATGTACCTAAAAATGTATTCTTTATGTGTATTTACCAGTACAGTCTTGGTGACTCGCAACAGGGTATGATTCAACAAAGTGGAACCTTTGTGAAATGGAGGCCCTGACTATTCCTTTCTGCCATAGATTTATCTGATGCAATTTACAGCATTCACAAGTCTAGCTGTGTGACCTAATTTTAGATTAAAGATGATTTGTAGTATATGTAAAACAAAGAAATATATTGTATTGTCGGAATTATTTGCCTTCTGCTGCAGTCAGCAAGCTGTTACTGGTGGAGTAGACCATCTGTGTATTTGCATACTGGGATGGTCAGAAAACTGGAGTAATGAAATTAGTGCACAACAAATCAATTGTTAATATGTTTAGCATTCAAATCTTGTATAAATGCTCTCTCTGCACTTCTCCTTAATCACCGTATCCTGAGAAGGACATCTGATTTCAAATTTATAAGGATTTACTGTGCCATTCTGTGGTTTTTGTTGAATATTATTATGACTGCCTACCTTTTCTCCAGGTCCTGGCACTGGAGTGAATGAGTCAGGGGCAGCATGTTATAGCGAATTTAAAGAGAAAGTAATATTATCTTTTCACAAATCAACACCTTAGGCAGATAATTTTAATTACTTGTTTCGCAGACTCAATAGAAAAAAAAAACAATAGAATCAAAATTAAGCAATAGGAATAAAATTGAGCAAAATTTATTATCTGATGTCCTACTGATCATATGATCATATCAGAATAAATAAACATGAAAACTCTTAACTTTTTAAACAAAACACTACATTGAACAAGAATCAGTGATGTTACCATTTTGAGATATGTGTAAGTAAGTTAAAATAAGTGTTAACATTGTCTATTTAATAGAACTACTGTTTTTTTTTTTTTTTTTTTTTAAATAGTGAACAAAATGTTATTATTTGAAAATATACCCCCCCCCTCCCCCCCACTCACCGGACCTCTGATAAAAATAAAATTTATTTGAGAAACAAATAATTAAAAAATATCTGCCTTACACTATATACCACAAGTAGATTATCCTTTTGATAAAAACTGATATTCTATTGAAATAAATTTATTTGGCTCAGATGTCAAAAAATGGTTTTTTCATCAATCTGATAATGATGTGACTGGACAGTGTTATCAATCTAAATCAAATTTGTGTGGGTCAGGGTTTATATCTGACTGTTATAGTTCCGATAACAAAAGTAGCACATATAACAATATAGAAATTAGGAGGTCTGTCAGGATTATCAGAATGCTGTGATCCCTCTCAACATTTCAGTTTTGTTTTATTTTCGTTTGGACTAAATCTGCTGTGTATCATGTGGACCATTGACTGGAATATTAGGTTTCCAGTAAGGAAAATATATAATATATGAACAAAAGCAAGACTTAATGATGAAAGGAACACAGGGCGTGTTTAGGAGGACAGGTTCATTATTCAGGTCCAGCAGTTTCCCTGAAGGCAAACCTGTAGCAGCCACTAATTTTGGGTGAGTTTTAAATACAATCAGTCACAAATGGCCCAGCATACATAGTAGTTCTAAGGGCACTTCTCATATGCAGTTAACACAATTTCACTCACATTGACTTAAGGCTTCAGTGTTGATACAGACATGAAAGCATACACAAGTGTGTTGGAAATGTCATTTGGATTGAATTTTGGATTTCTCAAATTTTCACATGAAGTAATGTCGGGAAAAGCTAGATTAACATTGTTAATAATTCATATATCAAGTCAATAACAGTGGAGGATATTATTTGTAATTGTGCCACATGGTATGTTCACACTGGAAGTAGATCAATCATGTCCATTTCTGTCCATCCCATCAGTGACCCATGCTTTATCACATCCCTACCATGAGTATCCAGTGTAGCTATGCAGTTGCTGAGCCATGTTTTGTTGATGATAAGAATTGTTCTTCTTTGTGCAAGTACTGATAGATTATTTGTGGGGAAGTGTGTTTTGTAGCAAGCAGACATTGTACTGCAATGGCTAAAATGAATTACTTCCTTTTATTCAGGCAACGTAATCATTGCAAGCCTGAAAAGATTTCCCAGACTTTTTCCCAATTTTTTAGTTTGATTTTTTCATTACTCAAACAGATATTTCAATTAACAAATGCAATGATGTAATTTATTATTATTATTTTATTTTATTTATTTATTTATTTTTGACAAGGATGTGTTAAGTATGCACAGAAAAAACTTCCTGTGCCAAATATACCCAAACAGAGGCAAATATAATAACATGTCACACAAGTGTTATGTATAAGGGTCATAGAAATTGAAATGCTGTACTGGACTTATCAGTTGGTATACTTGTAAATATCACTACAATAATACAGAAAATTGATGAAAGGTTTTCTGATTATCTGGTTGATTGTACCACATTCTCATTTGCTTTGTTATCTATCATTGCTATCTATCAGGTTAAGTCTTATTGCTTCAATATCAACGCAGAAAAAAAGCTTAAACTTTGTACAATGACTTACATAAATGTATTATTGATGCAATTTAAGTATTGTTTGCACTTTTTTATCAAGATTTTAATTTAACTTTTGGAATCGGACATGTTAAATTGCAAGCGTCTTGCAATTATTTCTTTGTTATTTGTATAGGTAACCCATCAGACTTGAATAGAAGGCATGATCATGCAGTGTAAAAGATCTCAAGATTCTGTGTTATATCTGTGTTTAATATTACACATAATTTATCTATAGACATGTTTATTATTTGTCTCTGGCATCTGGTAATGGTTGCACAGGTAACATGACATGATAGCATCAGTCATACCAGTAATTTATGAGGGTTTTAATGGTCAGATTAAGTTTACCCCTTCATGACTCATATCTGAAGATGGTATGGATTATGATGTGGATATTTATGACCCAGCAAAAGTATTAAAGAAACACGTTTTTCTTTGACGTTTGTGTTATAATAATGTTTCACTCTTTGGTGATAGAAAATCACATGTTGACTATAGATGTTAAACTGAAATGGAAAATGATTATCACAATAGCTTAAGATAAAAGTAAATGTTGATGATGGCACTATGTGTTGTACCTTATCACCTCATCAAAAGTTTGACATATAATCATCATAACTTTTGAACAAGAAGTTATAACTTCTCGTTTTGAACAACTTGGTATTTGGCTGTTCCCCAACAAATAAGGAATGAGGATACAGTTTAGACCTAATCCTGTTACGACATCCCCTTTTTCCACAGGTTTGACAAGGAAGAATTCAATGAATTGTAAACTTCTGTTGAAAAAGTAATTTTGTTTAGCCTGTGTAACTTTATACCATGTTGCAACATATTTTAGAATTGCCGATTTGGATGCAATGAAATTTCATCTTATTTTCTTGTGGTTTGAATATTCTTTGTGATATTTCTTTT